TGGCATGTATGTGAACATATATTTACAGATTTAACCTGTCATCAAGCAATGTCTCTTGTACACATGCCTGTGTGTCATTTAATTCTTTGTGAACCCCAGACAAGGTATAAGACCCTGGACATGTAATAGTAGAAGAGCAAAAGATAGACAGATGGCAACAATTATAAAACAAACAAAATAAATCAGTTTCATGAAGGAAATGTTTGTGAGCTTTGATACCATTTTTATAATATGGCTGTGGCTGACAATCTCCTTTTCCTACCCAATAGTCATTGTCCTTCTTTTTTCTCCAGCTAATGTTACCTTTGATCTCAAGATATCCCTTGATCTCAGAGAAGACAGAACTAGCTCTCCAATTTAGTGGTTAAAAAAAAAAAAAATCATGATGAATTTAAAGCAGTCTCTTTCCTTCAGCCAATAATTGTCTTAAAGATGTTCACATGACCCAGTTCTAGCCAATGAGATGTTTGTGGAAGGCAGCTTGAGAAGAGAAATCAGATACCCTTGTTTGAATGAAGCCTGAAGTTAGCAAAGAGAATATGATTTCTCCTTTCTGAGTCTGCCTGCCTTTACGTGGATGCGATAGCTGCAGGTGCAACGATTTTGTGACCCAAAGGGAAAAGTCAAGAGAATCGCAGATTTCAACTCTGATATCAAGTAGACGAACTAATGCCACCAACCTCCTACTCCTGAACTTCATTATATGATAAAAATGAATCACTATTTAAGCTACCATATTTAGATTTCCTAATACAAGTAGTGAAACTCATTCCTAACAGCTATGACAGTATAGACACAGTCTTCCCAGGATAACTATAATTGGAGTGAGTGACACAAACAGAAAAGCTTCTGTTCTGTTTTTCATTTCAGCTGAGTACACTGGGCCTCTATTGTACTAACATCGTCTGACAGGATTAGGACGACAAAAACTGGGGTTTTTATAATCTCTTATTAATATGGATACTTTCAAACACAAGCTCAAGAACTTGCCCTTGACTCTGTGAACAAAATTGTGCCATCTGGGTAGTAATGAAGCAAAGTATGTTTTTTAAAAAATAAAATATGTGAGGCTTCTTTCTGTTCCTTCATACCTGAGAAGTTACTTTCTCATTCACAACACTAATCTTTAACAAAGCTGTGTGGTAAAAGATAACATTATTTGAATATACAATCAGTCTACAATTAACCACAGATGACAATTACAAATAACACTGTGGCCCAGAGTTTCCAAGAAACCTGACACACACAGTTCTTGGGTATGTTGAAACAGTTCCAAGAAAAGTAAAGAAATAAAAAAAAAATCTTTTACAAGGCTTCCATTAAAATGTGTTTCTGTAAAAATGACTTTCATGATGTGTTTTGGTACATATCACTCAGAAATCACCGGTCTCTATCTTCACACCTCTAATTGTTTTCACTGTCCAGTTACAGCTTTTCAGAATTAAGACCTTCTAGCTGGGATAACCACGTGACTGGCTATTTGAGCTGTGAAGAAAAGTTAATGTGTATAAGGCTGTGTGCTTAAGAAAACAGATCTCCACCACAAGATTCCAATTATCTGGAGCCCAGGTCATGGTATCTTTCAGGTTGATGCAAAGCACCAGGTTGAACCTCTTTTCTTTTGTTCCTTTCTCCCAGTTCCTTCCCTTCTTTCTTTCTGCTTTATCTCTCGCACTCCTTACCTTACACATATTTTCTGAGTTTAGGGAGTTGGGAACATTATTATTATTATTTTGAGACAGAGTCACCCAGGCTGGCATGCAATGGCATGATCACAGCGCTCTGCAACCTCTGCCTCCCAGGTTCAAGCGATTCTCCTGCTTTAGGCTCCCAAGCAGCTGGGATTACGGATTGTGCCACCACACCTGGCTAGTTTTTTGTATCTTTAGTAGAGACGGGGTTTCATCACATTGGTCAGGCTGGTCTCGAACTCCTGACCTCATGATCTGCCCACCTCGGCCTCCCAAAGAAGTGCTGGGATTACAGGTGTGAGCTACCACACCTAGCCGGGAGTATTATTTTGGACAGAAAACATGCCCTTCTTTTGGGAATTCAAGTAATATAAGATGATAGTACAAAATGTAAGAGGAATTTACCATACATTATTTAATGTCTTTCCTAAACTCTATGGCAACATTTCAAACCAATTACTGATCCACATATTTATTGGCCATAGATAATACTGAGTGATCATAAAACTCAAATAAAAAGATAGGTATTAGAAAAATAACACAATATACATGGACATGTGGTTCATGGGAAAGAAAATGTGTCTACCTTTAATTCAAGTATATAACAGATTTGACATGCTAAGCAATATGAGGTCTTTATTCAATTCTATAGGCAGGCTCACACACATAAATATGTAATGAGTAACAGTCAAATAATAATTTGATCCAAACTGTAAGCTCTATAAAGGGAGAACTCACATTTTCTGGTTTAACACAATACCTCCAGTACATATCACAGTCTCTAATACATAGCATGTGCTAATGTTCAATAATTACTAATTAAAATATATAAGTATGACATTATTATCTCATTTTCATGAGTTACTCAGACACAGATTGACCATTTATATTCTAGAAATGATACTCAAGTTATTTCAACAGGAAAAGTCAACAACAAACTATAGTAATATCTCCTTCAAAGAGTTTCAATAATTTCAATTACATTTTCAGGTGTCAGGATAATGAGATAATTCAGATCCATTGGTTGAGAAGGTTTCCTTTTACATTACAAGAGTTTGTAATACTATTACAATAATGAAAATGCTTATTTTCATGATTTAAGTTTTTCATGTAAAAACATGAATTATAAGGTGATAGTTCAAGATGTATCTCAACTACATCAATAGTGCATGGTGATAAGATTCAGGAATGATGAACTTCTTGAGAACAGAGACATCTTAACTGTCCAACAGGTTTTGGCAGGTATTATTTTAAAAATAGATTTTTTTAAGTTGTTATGACTCTACAAAAGAGAAAGTTGAAGCAGTAGCTATCAGCAGAGGCAACTCTCACTCCTGCAATCCAAGTAAGAGGTGCTAATCAGAGAAATAAAGTATGATTGTGGAGATGGAACAAGAAGCAGAAATAAGGTCCCCTAACAATGGACAAGTATATAATAAAGTGAATGCAGATGGTTCCACTTCTGTTACTTAATCAAAAGGCTGTGCAGAGTCACTGGAGCCAGCATAAAGTCATGTGTTAGAACAACAGCTGATCTGTATTAGAGAAGATTAACTCACAGTGCCATGGCGGAGGTCTCAGGATTATTTTATGTACTTCCATTGCCTTACAAGCCGTCAGCACAATTATTGCCCTCCAATCTGAATGACTGATCTGTAACCACAGCTAAACAGCACGCTGCTTAGGGGCCTAGGAGCTTCATGAAGATGAATTTCCATACCATCAAAGTACTTTTAATGGGCTCCCTGATCCAACCACAAGGCCTGCTTTGCAAGTATACAGAACTCAGGATGAAGGCTTCCTGTCCAAAAGGATTTGGTCGGTTGTCACTTGACAATTCCCAGCCAGCACTGGGGAAGAGAGGGGGGAGATAGGTAGAGTTGTCTCTGCTTTGGAGGATTAAAAAGAAAAAAAAAGGGTACAGATGCTTGCTGAATGCAACCAACTGCTGTATCCACAGCTGAAGTCAATGCGCTTAACAAATAACGGCAATTTAGCTATGCTTGCGAGGAATAGCTTGAGTCACTTTGCATTAGCATCTGGCTGAGTGTTAAACTCATTTCTACATGGGGAGCAGAGAAAAGGAATTTCTGTTTAAGCATCCTTTCAAGAATGTTTAAATATTTGAATATAAATTCCTTTATGCTTGCTATCATTCCTTCTTAGAACTGTCACTTTGCTTTCCCCCTTCCTTTTGGTGCTTAGCTATAAAAATGTGCCCTTCTCAGGACACCAATGTCATACGTCTTACGTTGTAAGATCACAAGGGATGTATACTGATCCATGCTTTGCTCTCCCCTCTGGACATACAATAGAACTGAAATCATTTCTCCATCCTCCATTTTTACCATATTAGGACCAGGAGAACAGCAGTTGTGACAGGATCACCCATACCTTTCACCTTCACTATGCAGATTGCCAGCTTTTTCGTGATTATACATCAAACTCCACATAAAATCTGGGAAACTAGAAAACTATCCAAATTAGCAATCTGCTCATTCTAGACAATTCTGTTTGACTCATAAGCTTCCCATTATGATTAACTTTCCAATTATTTGCTAAGTAGCTGATCATTTTTTCTCCTATCTATTGGACCTAGAGGATTCTGTAAAGGGGACTGGGTTACATTTTAAAATTTCAATTCAAAACATGTCAGATATTCCAAAAGTACATAATTCTGATGACTTTACAACCTATAATATCTTTCTAAATAAAATACTATGTATGCTTAGACCAAAGGTCTTGAAATCATTGTATCTCAGACAAATTCAGACATTTCACTGGCCTTAGTTATAATACAAATAATGTCAAAGTTTTAATAAACACATTTTGTTTTATGATAAAGTCAAAATTTCCAGTTGTGAACTCGTCTAACACTTGACAGTGCTTTGCATTGGAAACATATTATGACAAGCTCAGGATCCTAAATACTTAGAATATGAGCATGGCTATCATCCAAGCTTATGCTGATTAAAGAAGATTCAGCATTTCAAATCCAGCTCATCCTCAAATACAAGTTAAGCATCTCTGAAAAGCAAAACTTTTAGTCCGACTCAGATATTTCAAATGCCATTTTGTTTTGATACAAGCTGTGGCATAAAAGGGGATATTCACTGTCAATAAGGTTTGGAGATGGATAAAGAGAATTATAACTCTTCCCATTTCCAGATGGTTTTGATTAGGATGACATGGAGGAAACAAAGGGACAGAGAACCATCATTCTGAGGATGGCAAGACAATGAAAAGATTTTTTTTTAAAGCATTAGGCAATTTAAGTATTTTTAGAAAGTAAGTTATTTTATGACTGACCTTTTCTGTTCGGCAGTTATTGAGACCCAGACTATTCACAACAGCCACCTTCCCATCAAGCACCTGTTGTTCCCGTCTAAGTTGCTCCTTCATTTGCCGAGCTTCCTGGATTGCCTTGGTGACAGCATCGTGGTCATTTAAGTAACCTGAAAATGAGACAGATCAAAGGACATCTTTTGTATGAATGCATGTTTCTACGCTAACCTTTAACCATAAAAATCACTTCTTCTTTTGGTAACAGCTAGTGTCTGACCTATAATGATTTCTCCATGGAATTCATCTAAAATGAATAAATAAATAATTGACAATGACTGATTCACAGAGTCATACGTGCCATATATAAACCTGTTTCTAATATGTTCAAATATTTGTAATAAAAATATAATATCTGGGTGAAATATGGTTGTTTCCAACTATTTTGAAATAAGTTAAAAATATAATTTTTAAGTAAATGCTTCATTATTCTAGTATTACTTTGAAGTGCAAATATAAAACCCATTTAAATTTTTTTTTCCTGCAAGAAACATTTGAATGTTAGCATAGAATTTAGGTATTCACAATTATAACTATGATTATTAAGTCTCTCTTAGTAGTAGAAAGACCACTTAAGAGGGTCTGTATAGCACTACTAGGTTTGTTATATACAGAAGAAATAAATCATTATTAACTGACTGAAGAGCATTTTCCTCCTAAATCCATTTATGGTGAAATAAACCACAGGTGGCAGTGGTTTGCTATGGATGCAAACTTGTAATAGTTAGGCTAAATTTCAAGCACAGAATGTAACCAAGCACCTGTAATTGTTTGATAGGAAACTGTGGCTACTCTCAACTATAGCCACACTTAATTCACATTCTTAATAAGATGGCCAAATGATCAGCTTATGTATGCAACTCCACAGTCCATGGTTAGTAAAACACACTACCAAAATATTGCTTTTACAGAATAACAGGTGTAACAACCAAAATTAATTTTTAACTTAATTTTAACACTGGTCATTTATTTATTTGATGCATGTTAGTGTGATGAGCTGCATGATATTAGAATAGAATAAAGAAAAGCCAATGTCTCATCTTTTTCTCTCCCTATCTTTTAACTAGGGCATAAAATGGCATAAAATGAATCTGTAATATGAAATTGCCCAGAAAAGGGACTTGTTTGTGACACGAGGCTAAATCTAACCAGATCCATTGGTGAATTGTGACAGATGGAGGGACTGTGAGACAGAAGGCAGGCACTAATCACACATAAAATGACCGGCTTGCCTCAACATGTTCCATGGATTCCAGCAAACTTTACACCCTAATCCATTTTTAGAACAAAAAACATCTGGGCCATAAATCCTCTAATCTGCCAAAACACGCTATTAAATCCCATGATTTGTTGAAAAACACTAAGATTAAAGAAAGGAAATATAAAATGGCTAACTGCCGTGTTAGGAAAGTGTTATTAATACTCTTTGTCTCAATTATGAATGTTCTGGTACTAAAGAGCCTTGTCTAATCATGTCAGATTACATATCCTTGTTGTATTGCTAGACTCTTCTATCTGATCTGGTGATTGCCAAAAAACATAGAATATTTTCTTGCTGCTTAAACGTTTCTATTCAAGAAACTGATGTCAGATTAGTGCGGTATTCAGTGCTGGCAAGTTTCTAAATGATCCATTTCCCCCTATTACTATGCACAGAGTAGACCTGGTCCTCTGAAATCCTTGAAGCAGAAGGAAAAGTTCCAGTGTAGGCGATAGAGAGGGGAAGCTTTAGAGTGATTATAGATTTTGCCTTTCGGAGTGAAATTCATTGGAACTTATTCAAAGAACAAAACATCTCTTCTCATTATAAACACAATCATGAATTGAAAACAACTCTAAACCTAGAACAGATCTTTAGGTTTAATATTTACTGTAAAAGATTATTGTATTTTATTATCCTCAACATCCTAATTTGGTTCTCCTGTTCATCCTTCTTAATGTACAATTCTTGAAGTTGTTCATGAACAATATTACTCTAGATAGAAATACAACTCTCACATGACAATGATGATCTTAGTATATGTTCCTTTAGTAATATCTTAAGAGGATCAGTTTGATTTTTCTATGCTCTAACCCCTGCTTATATACAACCTGGCATCATACATTTTTGTAGTCTATTTAGCTTCTATGTAGTCTAATTAGCTTCTCCAGAACACAAATATATTTGAAATGGCTTGGCACATGGCACTGAATAAAAGCATGAATTCTCTATGCTTTTTAGGGACTGCCAAGATAACATTGTGTAGGAAAAATGATTAATATAGATGCAAGAGGAATGTAAATTATTATGAGGGGGAGTAACTGACAGACCTATGTTCTGTAATGGTTATTTCCAATTTGAGATGTGTGTTTCTGTGCAGGTAGAAATAACTGTTCACTTTAAAATAAACATTTTTGCTTTTAGAGACTCTTGAGTTTTAGTTATAATGCTATATGAAATGTTAACATTTGTATCTGCTATGCTAAATCATAAAGCCTTTTATATATGACAACATTCAATCTTAATAGGATTGTTTCCTGGTTCTTTACAGTTTGTTCTCATCATAGTCACTAAATCCTTAAGCCTGCTGACTCCGTCTCTCTCAGCAAATGGCCTTGCCTCTGGTTTTGCAAGGAGCAATAAGGCTGAACTCTCACCTTCCTGACCCCACCCTCACTCTTACCTTCTGCTGGCATCAAATTCATTTCCATTCATGCCATTTTGTTCCTCCTGTTTCAGTAAAAATGGTCCCTTTGCTCTCGATCAAGGCAAATCTCCTAATCTCATGTTAGTTTTAGATTTCTTTTCTTTTCTTTTTTAAATATATACATATATGTTATTCCATTTTAGGTTTGGGCTACATATAAAGAACATGCAGGATTGTTGCATAGGTACAAACATGGCAATATGGTTTTTTCTATACTTCTTCACTGATTATTCTACTTCTCACTGTATCATCTATCTAATCATCTCTACCACCTCCACTTGTAGATAAAGTTCTCCTTTCTCCTAAAACAAGCAAATAAAGTATGTTCTTTAACTCTGTTTTGCCTTCTTTTCCCAACATTGTTTCTCTTTTTATCTTCTAAGTCAAGCTTCTAAAAGTTGCATTATCTCATAATCTCTCGTTCCCCCCTTACTCTCCAATTCTCACCTCAATCTTGTTTCTGCTGCTATTGGTCTTTAAGTGTCAAATAAATCCAAAGGACATTTTCCATTTCTTGAGAGGAATGACAGCACTGACCATCCTCTCATTATTGAAACTCATTTTAGTGTTATTCCTTTTTCCTCACTGCCTCCTCTGTGTTTGTATCCCTGGGATCCTTCCTTCACCTAATCCTTAGATTTTGGTCCAAGATTCTAATCATTAGAAAAAGCATGTAAGTTTTGGCGCTGGGAAAGCTTGAATTGAAATCCTAGCTTTGACACTTATAGCTATATGAATTGTTTTACTTTTCTACATCGCAATTGTCTCATAAATTAAATAGGGGTAACACTCGGGAACAGAAATGTCAAGATTAAGTGAGTTAACATAGTTTTTAAATTATAATAAATGGTCAATGAAAGCTATTCAGTAACTATATATATAAAGTAACTAAGTCACTTTATAAAGTGGCATAGTAAAATAAGTAGAATTTGGAAATTTGATTCAACTGGATCTGGAATTTCCACTTCTCAGTAAGTGTGATATTTAACAAATTTTAATGCTCAATCTAAGTTTTCATTTCTCTTAACTATAAAAGGAAGGTAAAGTTAATGGAAGAATTAGATGAAAAAACACATGTGAAGGAGCAGATAGCACTTGGTATCTGTGGCGGCAGGAAAAGATGTTAGACTCCTTTCTTTACTCTTTACACTTTCGTTTTTCCTATATGTTCATCCTTAGCACTCTTGTTAACATGGCATTGACTATTATGATGAAATCTGTGGGGGAACGTTATTCACTGGCTGGCACAGAGGTTTGATGAAATGGGCATCAGACCATAAAGGCCAGAAAGATACATAATGGTTACCTGATAGATACATTTTATTTTGCCTTCATTATAGATTCACACAGCAATTGCATCTAAAGTCAGGATCGGATGGGAGGGCAAGTGTATAGGAGAAGTTTGGTGAACCTCAATCTTAAGAGGAAAATGAGATGGCAAAGGTCAATATAACTCACTATTAACATCTCAGATGAGATTTGGAAAATGCAGGTAAGGAATCATTAATGTAAGAAATTTGTGAGATTCTGTAACTTTGTTAAATTCACTATAATTTTTTTTTTTTTTTTTTTTTTTTTTTTTTTTTTTTTTTTTTTTTTTTAAACAGGGTCTCACTGTCAGGCTAGAGTGCAGTGGCATGATCATAGCTCACTGCAAACTTGAGCTCCTGGGCTACGGCAATCCTTCTGCCTCAGCCTCCTGAGTAGCTGGGGCTACTGGCACATGCCACTACCTCCAGCTACTTTTTAAATTTTTGTTGAGATAGAGTCTTGCTATGTTGCCCAAGCTGGTTTTGAACTCTTGAATTCACACAATCCTCCCACCCTGGCCTCCCAAAGTGCTAGTATTACAGGTGTGAGCCACCATGCCTGGCCTACAATTTGATATTTTATGCTTCAGTATTTCTTCTTAATCATTACCAAAAATATTCTCAAAGTTTTTGCTTTTTTTAATTAAAAAGGCCCCTTACATATTTTTTTCAGGGGCAGAAAAGAAGGGACAAACTAGAAAGTATAATTTTGGAGGAGAAAAATTCTAAAAGGAAACAATTAGTAATGGATGATACACAAAGAAAAAGAAAATACAAAATCACTTGTAATGAGTTGAATCATGTCTGCCCAAAAGAAGTATCGGAGTCCTAAACTTCATTATCTGTGACTGTGGCCTCTTTTGGAAACAAGGTCTTTGAAGATGTAACTAAGGATCTCAAGGTGAGATCACCCTGAAATTAGGGTGGGCCCTAAATCCAATAACTGGTTTCCTTGTAAGAGGAGAGAGATTTGAGTCAGAGAAATAGGGGAGAAAGCCAAGTAAATAGGGAGGCAGGGATTGGAGTTAAGCATCTATGAGCCAGGGACTGCCAGGGAGTGTCATCAGCATGGAGGCATGGGACAGGTTCTCACTCAGAGACTCCAGAAGGAACCAA